TGTGTGTTTATCAGATTGAAATATTGATATCTTGATTCTGGATAAAATGATAGAATATTTTTGTTTTGTATGAAAATATTTATTTGGTTAAAAAATAAGGGTGACAGATTTAGATTAATATCCTGTTTCTAAAATTGATATACGATCGTTTATTATTTTCTTTTATAATTTTTTTCCTTTTTCGTTGATTGAATTCAGATTGAATTATTACGGTGGGGGAGTTATTTAAAGAAAAAGAATTGGATCAATATAATCTTAGATCTTTTTATTGACGATAGATCATTTCCTCACTTGTTGAAGAATTCTTTGAGAAAACATTCAGTCAAGCGAAGATTGCTTCCGGTGTGAGCAGCGTGCTTCTTGCAGTAGGGGGAGACACACCATGTACACCTCCAACGATGTTTTTGCTTCCAAGTATCCCTGTCCGTGGGAGTTCTCGATGAAGTCGTTGATCCTTCCGACAAGGTAAGACGTTTTGTGGAACGAGCAGGGCGGCCGTAACCCTCCAACGATCTTCTTCTATCCCTTCGAGAGGGTGATCTCACGCGGCTTCAAAGAAACACTTAATGGATGGTCTAATAGAAGAAAAAAAAAAGTATTTTTTTCAATAATACATAAGGAGACGGAACTTGGGTCACAATGTGGTCCAAACAATTGTGGAAAAATATATTCGAGGTTTTGTACCAGCTTGTATGTCGCATAAATAATAACTCGACAAAAATAAAAAAAAAATAAAATTATCCTCCATAATCTCAAATTTCATTCTAATCGAATCCATACAAATTAACGACTATCCGAATATATATCCTACCCTACGCGTTAAATTAATTTTTTTTTCATATCTTTCCAAATTGTAGATAACAAAAAAAAAGGGAAGACATTTCTCAAGTAAGAAAAAACGCAACAATATTTCTAAATATAGAGAAATATTTCTAAAAGGAATGGCGATTGTGAGTTGAATTCAAACGAATAAAAAAAAATGCGACACGTACCTCGCAAAAAGACGTAGAAAAAGAGGCGGGGGGGGGGGGAAAAAAAATAAAAAAAAAAAAAAAAAAAAAAAAAAAAAAACAAAACGAAAGAAAAAGGGCGGACAACAAGTCCATCGGGAATTCCAGGTTCCCGCGTGGAGGAGTCTCTCGCGGTGGTGTAAGATGGCCNAAAAAAAGGGAAGACATTTCTCAAGTAAGAAAAAACGCAACAATATTTCTAAATATAGAGAAATATTTCTAAAAGGAATGGCGATTGTGAGTTGAGAGAAAAATTATCAGAAAATGTTCATTAAATATGTATCTTAAATATTATAAAAAAGTTTGTATAAGGGGGGGGGGGGGGGGGGAAATAATATATAAAAAAGAAAAAAAAAAGAAAAAACAAAACGAAAGAAAAAGGGCGGACAACAAGTCCATCGGGAATTCCAGGTTCCCGCGTGGAGGAGTCTCTCGCGGTGGTGTAAGATGGCCGTTGGGTGCAGCATTGTCGCGGTCCCTTTTGCGGCTTGGCCCAACGTCGGCGTCGTCGGTCCTTGAAAGAGTAGTCTCTCTCTTTTTCTCTCGAGCAAAAGGAGTAAGGAGTCTCTCTCTCCTGCTGATAAACGCGCCAGGAATTCCTACGGGCACGGCAGTGCACCGCCACTGTTGCCGCCAGTGGTTTTCGGATAGGACCGAACGAGAAACACGTCTTCTATCTTTCTTTCTCTTTCTTTCTCGCAAACACACATATACACTCATATATACAAAGACATATAGATATATATAGATATATATGCATACAATCTATCTTGGCACAGTACAGAAGCCGATATGATCATTGCAAGATGATCATTTCTGATCTCTGCCTGTGTCATTTAGTAAATTTTTCTTTTTTCCATCTCTATCTCTCTTTTCTAGTTTCCCCTTTGAGTAATGGTCTTCGCGATCACTTCAAAATCGGTTGTTCATTGCTTTCTCTTTCTCTATCTGTCTTGGAAGAAGACTCCTCGAGGCTCGCGAGAAGATCCATCCATCGAATCGAGTAGTAAGACGTTAAGGTAATTGCTTAATGAACGAGTGTACGGCGATCGTGCTATTAAAAAATGCCTGATCGATTGCTTGATCGAGATCGGTTATCGATCGTGTAGTAGGTATCGTTAAACTCGATTGAGTCGCTGCTTCTTTCCTGATTAATCTCTTTAAGTATGATTATTATTGTTATTAGTATTGTTATTATTATTGTTACTACTACTGTTATTATTTATTATTTTTCTTACTATCCTATACTCGATTCTTAACGATCGATATATATTCGAGATTTGGGATCACGTTGCTTCTGTTTTTGAAATCTGATTTCTCTCCTCTTCTTCCTCCTCCTCTTCTTCTTCGTCTTTCTCCTCGTCCTCCCTCTCTCTCTCTCTCTCTCTTTCTCTCTTTCTTTTTATCTCTATCTAATTTTGTTTTTTGCTCTTTTTAAGAAGGATCGGCAGATCTCGAGGCGACATCAGGGCGGTTCCTGATTTCGTGCACCTGTTGTTTTTGTCGGCGTGCGATAAGATCGGCACAACGACTGCATTCTCTCTCTTTCTCTTTCTTTCTTTCTTTCTTTTTTTTTTTTTTGCTTTCCTTCTCTCTCTTTTTCTCGTTGATGTTGTTCCTCGTGCCCGAAGCCTGTGCCACGAGCAAAGCTACTATTAAGGTATCATTACGTTCGCCCGGCTGCCACGCGGTTATTCGAAACGCGAGTAAGCCAACTCTTATCCTTTTTCTTAGATCGCCGAAATATTTGTTCGAGTCATCGAACGTACATAGTAAACTCCAATTTCATTTTCTAGATTATTGTTATCGTTCACATTTAAGAAAATTCATATCTCATTTATAGTTCTCTCATTCATCGTTCATCATTATTAATTATCCATTCATCGATTCATTGTAATGTTTATTTATACTTTATATCACTGTGTTTGATGTAATATTTGATTATTGAAAAAATAGTTAATATTTTATTAACATTATATATAGTTAATGTTTTTTTTTTCTTTTATATTTTACAGTCACGCGTAGGAATATTTCTTTTTTTTTTTTAAATTAAAATTTTTGATCGATATATTGTTATAATTAAATGATTAAATTTAAAGTGACAGTTTTCTAGCACATGAGACATTATGGGTCTATATATATAAAGTAGGAAAGGACGAAAATCGTATTGTATATTTAAATACGCGTATGTGTGTGTGTAAGTAGATAGAAACGCTCGTGAATCGGCCTTAGGATCAGCCGAGGATAAAGATGTATTGTAGATAAGCCGAGAGCGAGAGTATGTACACCTGCGCAACGGCGAGTCTCTCTTGGAACAGGCCGTAAAACTTAATTAACCCCTTCGTCGAAGGAAGATTTATTTTCCCTCGACGATTTCGCACCGATCCGAATACGTATTACGTCCGTCTAACGTTCACATTCCTACCTAAGGATTTCAAGAAATAACAACGAGAAAGAAAATTCCCCATTTTCTAACAAATATTTGTACTTGTGTGTGTGTGTCTCTGTCTGTGCAATTCATTTATTATCGTAAAACAATGTATTGCAAGCATACAAAATTTTACAATAAAAATAAAAACATAATTGTAAAAGAGAAAATTTTGAAGTATTTATATCTGCAACATTGTGTGTTCGACGTAAGTAATAAATTTTTAATATGATATTTATTATTATTATTAGATTAAAATTTTTTTAATTAGAGATAATTTTTGGAATAATTTACGTACCGCAACCTAGGAAGAAAATATGTTACCTAGAAATGAAAATGACTACTTTACTTTATTCATATCAGACACACACACATATTATATACAATATATATATATATATATATATATATATATATATACATAACTATTTTCATCTTCCTTAGTTCAGAACTCTTGGTTCGTTGGTATGGTTTTTGCCCTGTAACGAGCTCTCGTCTCACTTGGAAACTTTAACTACTATGTACCTAGTGACGTACGGGGTACTTAATTCGAGTCTGTGTGTACACGCGTGCCTTCGAGATCTTTTCTTCAAAACGTTCTTGAAAGACAGAAAGAGAACGAAATAATAAACGAGGAAGGATAATAAGAGAAAGAAAGAAAGAAAGAAAGAAAGAAAGAGAAGGGATGTTACGTACATCCATTTTCGGCTAATTATACATCGTCCCTTCGTAAGAGGCACTAAACTTCAGCGGTGTGATCGTAAAAGACACGTCACGAGGAAAGGGCTGCTTCCTTACGAATATCAGAATGTGTTAGTGTATCTGTGTATTATTTGTGAGTGAAAGAGAGATGAAGAAAGAGAGAAAGTTAGCTTTTATAAAAAGCTCTCACGGTGTAACGGGACGGGTTCGCAAAGGGCTAACTGGTTAACCGCTCGTTCGAGCGCCAGTAAATGTTACCCGTAATCGTGTTACAGCCTTTTATTGCGCCAATGAAAAGAAGTATTAATCGATGTACTTACACCTTTATCACTCGAACGAACCCCGGGTCCCGGTGTAATCCGATTTTCGGACGTTTCGACCGACCTCTCTCTTTCGGATTCTTTTTCGTTTTTTTTTCTTTCATTTTTTTTCTCTTTTTTCTTTTTAGAAAGTGCCTTATGCAATCATCGTCGCGGAAAATTATTGCCATAATTTTGTTTTATCACAATAGGAATATCATTAATTATTTTTCATACGGTTTTATATAAATGCATTCATAACAATTTTCGTTTCAAATTTATTTTTACGCGTTTATGCGTGGCTATTTTTAATTCGTGAATTATGAATAAGTTAGTTTGCGAATGAATAGTTTAAATAATTGGGAGTATCGTGGATTTAATGTGTTAAGTAGATTAAGTAGATAGGTAAGACGCAACGTTATTATTACTTTTTCGGAAGTGGTAAAGTTTTGTCTGATTATATGGAAAAATATTTCATTCCATTGATTCACAGAGATTATATTGAAATTTTCTTAATTATATTCACACACATAATCAAAGTTAATTCATATTTATACTGAATACATGTTTATTATAGCACCACATAATCTTTTATTGTTTGAGTATTAAGTATTTACTTATGCAACAAATTACTTTGATTACGAGTTTGAAATATCCTTAAAAAAAAAAGAAAAAAAGAAAGATCATCTTATTTGAAATAGCTTGTCAAGGATTTAGTTATAGGTATTAAATTTTCTGTTTTTCTTTTTAAATAATGGTATTATAAAAGTCGAACAAGTCAATCCTCTGTTCTACCAAAAGAGACACCTTTTAACAAGAGAAGATTAAAAAGATCCTGCGGCGTGGAGCTGTAAACTATCCGTGATGGTGTTTTTCTTCATTTCTGAGAAACGTCCCTTTGGTAACAAAGACATAAAGGACATGCCGCTTGCTTTTACTTGCTTTTCTTCGAGAAAGGTAGATGAAATCGGGGGTTGGACAAAGGGGAAAAGGACTGAGGGAAAAAAAAAAATCTATCAACAATTTCTCGGAAGTAAAATGCCCTTGACCCAACGGGCACGGTTGGTTAGTACCATTGTGGTCTAGTCCAAATATTATTAGATTTTATCCTAGACCTACAGCCTCGATTTTTTTCGGGCTTTTCCTCTTTGTTGCAGCAATGTGACACTGACGATTTCATGCGTAATTTTTAGAATATCGTATGAATTTTGATATACTTTTTAAAAATGAAAATTTCCAGAATTCATTTCGTTTGACTTTTTCATAATAAATTCATTTTTCTTTTTTTTTGGCAACTTGTTCTAAGTCTCTATGCAATATATAAACATTTTTTTCAATTTTCTAACAAATAATTTGGATTATTATATGATAAATAATGTTTTACTTTTTTTTTTCAATTACCGAAATCAAATTAAAGATCGATTATATTATATACTTTAAATTGTTTCAAAAATCAATTTCTAGCAAATCTTATTATTACTTATACACTTTTACTTAAAAAAATAAAACACTTTAATTAATTTTCCTATCATTGCCACGATTGTTAGTATTGTTCTTATCGAATTTGTCTAAAATATCCAATCGTAGAAATGAACCGACTATGGATCGTGCCGTTGATGCTGCTCTGCCAATACCACCTTCCATTGAACTGGTACCGCTACTACTTTTCGCTATTTTCACTGGTTTCGTATCGAGAGTAATGTTCACGGCGAATTTCAATTCCGCTACGAAAGCTTCCCAAGGAGTGATCTGTCGAAAAGAAAAGAAAAAGAAAAAGAAGAAAAAAACACCAAGTATTAAGATTAATGGTTAGTGTTTAAAATTTCAAGTAAGTAAAACTTCTTAGAAAGATTCTTCGAATATTTTCTCCTCTCCTCGAGTTTTTCCCTCAACTATAGTAAACATCGATAAAACTTCGATTCGTATTCCATTCGCATAAGTTTTATCGTTGAATCATCGAGTGTAATCACAATTTTGATAGAATTAGAATCGATAAAAAAAGACTAACCTTTTCTTCGACGGCAACTTTGCGTATGTTCCATAAAAATTCAAATATAGCGATGACGAAGGAAGCGGCACAACCGCACATCAAAACGAGAAAAACACCACCGACGTTGGCTAAACCTAATTCTATCGAGTTAGTATCTTTATCACTGTCATCTTTTTTACATTTTCCACCGCCACGTTTTTCCCACCACTTTGTTTTCAATTCTGACAGTGTACCCTTTTCCTGTAGAGTTAATATTGCCCCACTTATTGGAGTTCTGTACGGAGAATCTAAAAAAAAAGAAGGATATTAAATTAAATATAAATTCTTTTCGTTTTAAGGCATTATTTGGCACAAGTATCGTCCCAGATAAATTTCTTTGTAAAAACGTATCGGTGCATATTGCATAGTTTATTTAAAATTTAAATGTCGTAATACCTAGTTTATTTATTTTTTGTATCGTTATATACGATTAGTTTATTGTTACCAATAGTTACTTACTACGTATCAAAGCGATCCCATAACCCTTGTTGTCAATCAACGAACCAATTTGTTGCAGCTCACAATTTCTTTCCATTTTGTATTCGATCGTAGTCGATTCCATCAAAAATGCATATCCTTGTTTTTCTTTGATTACACGTTCGACACCTTCGTCGTTAGTAGCAGTAAATACACTTGGCCTTGCTTCCGACATGGTTGCCCACATACGTTGATAAGTAGAGTAATTTGAATCCTATAAAAAGAAAATAAGTAATAATTCATTATCCATTAAAAATATCGATCAAACGAATTAACGTCGGATTTAAATAATAATTACTCTAAAAAAAGATGAAGTTGAACCACCATCAATGGCACCGTATTTGATCTTAGTTTGTTTAGCGAGCTCTTCAACGTTCGTAATCGGATTGTCCATTTTGTCGATAGTCAGAAAAGCTGCCAAGTTTGCTGTGTACGATGATACCATGATCAGTGTGAAAAACCACCACATTCCGGCTACCATACGTACCGATGGTGCTCTAAAATCGATTAGCATCATGTTTAACTAACTATCATTACCTTTGATTCAACACATCGCAAACGGATCACGAAATATCAATCATCGATTCGTATTACATATTAATTATAAAATATTGATCTATCGCGTTTAACGAGTAACGTTAGTTCCTAATTATTTATCTAAACAATCTAAATTCGCATATCTACCTACGCATGTCAAAATAATGAAATATAACAGCATACTTAATCAAACACGAAAATATCTAATAATCAATGCATTACCAAATCAGATCATGAATCAATGATTCAAAATTCGTTAAAAGTAATCGAATTTTTGGATAACAAAATCAAACGTTAATTAAACAAATTACATTTTTCAAACATCAAATTAAATAATTCACATTTCAACACAATTTTTCGACAATTATCTAAACACTTTTTGCTTATAGATTAAGCAATAGAAAATAAAAAAAAGAAAACAATATAAAATATCTAAAAGTAGCGGTAGGAACGCATAACGTTCTCCTAATTAAGCAAAGGCTAAAGGGCTGCGTATGTAAATGGTCTCTGTTTGTTGACGATCCTTCTTGTACGCGTGCGCACATAAATGAATGTACGTGAGTGCGTGTGTGTAGTGTAGTGTAGTGTAGTGTTTGCTTCCGTCTCTTTCTATCTTATTGAATGAAGAACACGAGGTTCTCTGCGTAGAAGAGTCTCCAGCATGGGGGGGGGGTGGAGTGGGGTACAGGCGAAGAGGTATGAGGTATGAGGGTTAAGATAAAGGTAGGGGGGGGATGTATAGGAGGTGGAGGAAGAGGAAGACGACGGCAGTTAGGTGTCTTTGGTTGGTTGTCTCCCAGTATGTGGTGAGCAAACATGCACGATGTCACGGACAGAGAGTTAGCGCCGTGCCGGCGCTAATAAGTGGGAAGCCGACTCAAATACGTCCGGCAAACAGCGCCTCGTTAAGCTTAATTGTCGTGACTAAAAAAAAAAAAAAAACAAAAACGGAGTTCTCGTTCCCAAAAGAAAAACAAAAAATATAAAAGGAGGAATCAGAGGAGCAAGTCTAAATCTTTTTGTTAGCCAACTTATTCCTTAATTTGATTATTGTAAATCAATTTTATAATTTCTTTTTGTTTTTTTTTTTCTATTGAAAGCGAGAAGATAGGTCGATTAATAAAAAAGGGTCTTAGGTTTTGAATTTATTGTTCATTAAAATAGAATTTGTGTATTTTAAATATTTGGGGAGTTATTTTTTTTTCTTTTTTTAATAAAGTATTTTATAAGAATTTTTTTTTCTTGGTCTTATATGTTTTTGTAATAAATGAATGTTTTTTTTTTATAATGATATGTTTATAGAAATTATTAAGGTATAGGTTTTACGTTGAGTTATGGAGTATTATGAAGATATTGGAATTCGTTGGCTTCAATTTCAGACTATGTAGAATTGTGAATCGTTGATTCGGTTGGTTTCCTAAAGTTGTGAAATTTAAATACATAGATTTCTGAATAACCAGGTCACGTGCTTATGATTCTGGATATAGCTGAAGATTTAATGTTATTAGGATAGGGAATCAGGTTTCTGTATATCCGGCTTATCGAATTCAAGTATTGGGAAAGTGAAATTTGAATAGTCGAATATCTCTACGGATCTAAATGAGAGTTTTAAATAACACTATCGTTCTTAAATTCATTGAAACCTGATATTAAACTTACATTTGTATCTTATAAAACTCTTGCAGATTAATATTACTTAAAAAATAAATTAATACTTACTGAGGAAGAATGTCTGAACCTTGTTGCATAAGAGAACCCACGGTCAACCATAACGAATTCTTCAAATCAAAATTATTCTCTAATTCTTCAGGATCAGGATTACATGGATGAGGATTATTCCACTCTCCTGGTGCCATTCTAAAAAAAAAAAATTAAACAAACTCACCAATTAAATTTCTTACACGTTTTCCTTATCATGATATTTTAATCTTTTTATTTACCTGGCTTGCACGTACAACATCAAAGAGACTATCAGATAAGCAGTAGCCATGTAAATCCAAACATCCGTAGACAATGGTTTAAGGAAAGAAAACAGTTCAGGTTTTTTCTCTTCTGGTTTACTGAACAAAATACTGATACCTGTTAAAAGAAAATAAGAAAAAAAAAATAATTATCCTTTCATTTAACAATAAGTATAAAGATAAATTATTTAGATATTATTAGATTTATATATCATTATACCTAAATTCATAAATGGCATAGTAAAATCTACTGCACTCTCTCTAGCTGATGTTATAGTCAAATCACATATGGCAAGATCAGCTTCCTGAAATATACCTGTTCGTTCTTTTTACGAATTAAAGAGAAACGTTTAATAATTTAGATTTCACAATTAGTTACTTACGTGGTCTAAGAGAAGTTTAATCAAACCATTCCAAGATTTAGTTTTAGGTACGTAAGAACCGTATTGGTTATCAGGTACCAACATGAACGAATATTTGAATTTAAGAATTTTTGCAATATTTTCGATCACGTCTATGCAATATCCTTCGTAATATTTTTTATCGATAGGCACACCTCGTGTTGATCCATCTGTCACTTCTATCACGTATGGTTCACCCTATAAAATGGGTTAGTTTTTTAGTTTAGTTCATATGTTATTTTAAAAATGATTTTTATTATTTATTGAAGATTATTTAGTTTACCACTTTGATGGCAATCCTGAAATGATTTTGTTCGATAGATTTGAACAAGTAACGGTCGAGTTCCTGTTTAGTGCGAGTAGAATGAACACCTTTCTCATCCCAATATCCCATTTTTATACTATTGAAGTCTCGGAAATCCAAAAGATGAAGATTAAAGTTTCGTCTACGACCAATATCGTCAATGCTGATTGTTCCTGTCATCTTCCCTTCTAAAGATATCTGTATGTGTGTGTGTAATAATCAATTATTAGATTTATGAAAGATCTTAATTCTTGATTTCGAAAAGTGGATACAGTATTCTAACTGCAATTTTATTTGATTCAACCAGTTAAAAAAGAAACTATTTTATCAATATTTTTAACCATTTGTTTGCTAATACTTTAAACTAAAAAAAAATGGTCGGTGTATAAGAATAATTTATTAATATTTATAATAAATACAAAGTTTAGTTAGGATTGCGTACTAATATTTTATTATAAGTACTGAACATTTATTTAAAATATTGATATATTAATAATAATGGTCAAGAATAAATTGAAATTTTTAATAACATATATTTTAATCATGGAAATTTAGAATTAAATATAAATTTTTGTAGAATATTTTTCCCCGAGCGTATTTTGAGAAATTTTAGGTCGGTAAATACAAGATTCGTGATTTTATTCGTCGATACATTATGGTCCTCTTATATAAGAGGAAAAAGATTTCAGTAAAGGGATTAAACATTAAGTTTACCTCTCGTATAATGCTGGTAATGTTGGGACCTGCTTCATATTTCTTTTCATCGTCGCAAGAGAGCGGTACCGGGATGATAGGAATAGGATCACCATTATTTTTGTTCCTATCGTTAAGAATATCCAATGCGTTGTATAAAAGAAATACAGCATCGTAAAGGGCTGCACTTTCTGCCTAAAAATTTTAAAATATTTAAATTTGATTTATTCAATCATTCTTACTAAATTTTTCTACAAAATTCACTTTTAATTTCTTATAATTTCATTTTATTATATATTTTTATATTTATGAACGTTTTTAAATTACGAGTATGAACGAAAAAACAATCTACTATTGAATTATGTTAGATATTTTGTGAAGTATATTAATCATATTTTTCATAGATAGAAAGTCAAATGTAATTGAATTCGAATCCGTCAAAATAGTCTGTATCGTTTTTATCAATACACAGGTAAAATAGATGCGAGTTATTTCCCAATGCGTGAATTCACGTCAATCAAGAGCATTAAATAAGCCAATAATTTGCCGGACAACCCGTATAGTTCATTTAACATTCCTTCACAAGTCGAGTTTGTGCGATTTGATTAAGTACCATTGCGTGTCGAATGAACGAAGCGATAATAAACGACAAAGATGATACGGTCGTCGGTATGTCGATCTTATGATCTTTATTTATATTTCATTTTAATTAATACGTGTTCAATTTTCAAATAATCTTTTCCATTTTTTGGTTATTGTCTATAAGAACATTATTATTATGAAAGTAGTGGGGAAACAATACAGAAAAATAGTTGGTATGTTTTTCTTAAAATTAAGACAGTAAACATACGACGTATCGACACCACGTGTTCGCGCGTGTGTGTGTATGTGTGTATGTGTAAATACACGGTCTAGGTCACGTTGTTTATATTCAGTTCGTTTGTATTTAAAACAGAAAAAAGGTACAACTTACAGTTTCGTTCCAACACTCGTCTTTTTAACAAGTAGAAAATTTACCGGCATTTTAAAATCATTGTAAAGAATTTTATGAGAATAGTATAATAATTATTGAAAAAGTGAATTCCTGATTTATTGATGTACGTCTGTGTTATTTATCATATACGGTTCTTTGATTAATAATGAAAGCAGAGAGGACAAAGTCAGAGCTTCATTTGTGTTCTAACGTTCGTTTAGTTAACACGAGAATAATTTACTGCAAATAAAATTAAATAATACGGTAATATATGTATTTTAGAAAAATCTTATCGTCGTAATTTATTTTATATTATTTTGCGAAATATTATTTAACGATTATTTACTCTTTATGAAGAGTATCGGTGTATATTCCAATGCTCCTCTATTTTTATCAGGTCTTATTGCATTCATTTACGTTGCAACGTGTTCGTATAGTTAAAATATAAATAATTTGTCATAATTAATTAGAAATTTTTCATTGATATATTATATAAAAAAAAACTTCTTTTTCTTTTCTCTCTCTCTCTCTCTCTCTTTGTTTCATTATATTTATTAGATTTAGCAATTAATTAAAAATTATTTTTCCTTATTTTATTGGAAAGAAATAATTAATTTCTAATGAAAAAAATACTAATGTGCAATAAATGTTTCGTCTTTTTTTTTTTTTTTTTTTATTAGGTTTCATTAGTATAGAATAAAAAGAAAAGGTTTTTATAGGATTGTAGAATGTAAAACGAATCTGGTAGTAGATAATGAAAAGAGAATTAAGGTAGTGTCGTCAGGTGTTCCTAAGCACCGTGTCGTGAGTAGATTCCGAGGAACGAGTGTTTCAGGTTCTATCTTCGAAACAGCATATACCGGTTGCGGGCCATCGTGCTATAGAGTTAATGAAGAAATTACCTCGAGCGGGCTTTTGAAAGCGGACTAGCAAGCGCGTTTAAACAATTGTTTCCGCGTGGAGCCTCGGTAGACGAAAAACGAGTTTATTATAAGCTCGACGAAAGAGCCATGATTAAAACATGTTGATACAGGCGGTACCATCGTAACGGCCTTGACCACACAACTAACGACAACAACCACTAACGATGATGACGATGACGACGACGTTGTTGACAGGTCAACACGTTTTCACATCTGACTTTTTATACTTAGATAATTAATTTTCTCGTAAATATAATTCAACATTGTGTATTTTCGTAGAGCTATTCTTATTTGTCGTGAACAAATTCGATTATTATTTGTAAATTTATGTAAAGTTTTGATATATACGACAGATGAAATTTTATGTGAAAATATTTGTAATTTTTATTTCACGCGTTAATACTTTATATTTATATTGGTTTTATATTAAATTAAATTGTTATCCATGTGTTATAGAAATTTAGAAATATAATATTATAAAATAGATGAAACACAATAAGGAAAGAATCAGGCTTATGAAAAAATCTATACTAACAGGGAGTTAGTAATTAATCTAATAATTTAGTAAGGTTAAACATTCTGTCCATAATTTCTTAAGTAAATAGAAAGTAAGTTTTAATTAACTAAGAAAAGATAAGAGAAGATACTTCGAGATAGAGTTTTGTTAAATATTATACAATATATATATATAAGCTCTCATATTTTCGATGTAAATTACGAAAGACAAAACAAATACGAGAAAGAAATGAACTTAGGAAATATCTTCTATTATCGAATCGAATTTAGTAACGATAGTTGTAAATTGGATGTATCGTATAGAGAATATTATAGGAAATTGTGTAATTACCAGGTTAATTCCGTCGACATCGTTCTGCCTCAAGCTGAAACCGGTAATGTTACCCTGGGTTGTGCCATTTCGTATTTCAAGAATCGGTAGTTTCGAGGAGTCCTGCGAATCGAAATCGGTAAAAGTGATATCGTGATAGTAGTGACGGTGGTGGTGGTGGTGGTGGTGGTTTGGAGATATAATATAAGGACATTATTTTCAAGAATGTCTACGGCACACGTTTAAATTTCTTTTCTATGTGAAATCGAGCCAAGTCGTCGAGCCCTTTTCTAACATAAACGACGAAGACTATTACAGGGGTTCATCCTTGAGAACCATTTTTCTAACTATCCAGAGTCTGTCGCATGATCGAACGATTTGCACTGCTGCTACTCCCTTTTTAATGGCCCATTAAGATCAACTTTATTTCTATCGGAAATCAAGTAAGAAAAGAAGAAGAAGAAGAAAAAGGAAAAAGAAAAATAACAAAAAGAATTGGCACGCTTATCACTAGAAAAAAAAAAAACTTACTTCGATAGAACTTTCTTAATGGAGGAGTAAGATTAAGGTAACCCACGTTTCGCTTCTTTAAGAATATCCTCGCTTAAAATTTCATCTTTTAAAGAAGCGAATTTTTTTTGTCTTCTTTATTTTTTTTTTATTTTAAATATCTTGCCAACAGAGAGATTGTTTATTCATTTACATATATATAACCGAAACGCAGAAAATTCGTTCTCGTAATGTCTTCAAAATTTAAACAACGATGATTATTTGTCGAAATAATTATGAAAATATCTTCGTGAAAAAAATGTAATTTATTTATCGCCAATCGGAACGCAGCAAATTATTTGTTATTTTTAAAAATATACGGTTTATTTCGTTGTAATTTAAAGGATAAAATGATGGATAACTGAAGTAGCTGAAAATTTTTGTAACATTCGTTTTATCTTTATAGGTAATTGTTTGTATTTTATTTTTTCGTTATTTCTTTTTTATTTTAATTGAGATATATATTCTCCCCTACTCCCCCATTCCTCACGTAAGAAAATATATCAAAGTTTATCGTCGAACATAATTCATAGGACTTTTTTTTTAATCGTTTATCTTTCCTGGTGCTTGTGCTTGCACGTAGAAAATCAATAAGCGATCAACAAGTAATTTAGCCGAGGATCGTCGAACAACGCGCTCGGAGAAGAATAATTACATTGTTTCGACATAATGAAGTAGTAAATACGAAGTTATCGGTAAAACGATCAATGAACATCCGCGAGTAATGGAGGTGAAATTTCGAACGATGTATCCTTCGTGTCGAAACAATACAACTATCGATTTAATATCCGATTTATGGACAATACATACTTATCGACTTGGCTCGATATTGATTATTAAAAACCATATCAAACACTATAAAAAAAAAATGAAAAAACGAACAAGCTGAAAAAATCAATAAAAATTAAATATTTCCTGACAAAAGAGTGTTATTCCTTGATTTACGTTCTTTACTTGTGGAGTCTGTTTTCATTTAACAAAAAACGAAGAAACACATTAAAAAAGAAGCCAACGTGTAATTGTAATTAAGATATAAATGTATTACATTCGTATAGGCTTAAACGAAAAAAAAAATATATATATATATATATATTTAAAAAATTCTACGCGAATGCATATAAATTATATTCCTTGTCGTAAAAAATCACACATTGTTAAAATTTTGTTTCTATTAAATATTACTATTCATTAATATAATTTTTGTTCTAATTGAATAAAATGATATGACGTAAATCACAAGGAATGTAGGTGTGTAATATGTACGAATGATAAATGATACCATGTAAGTTATGATGAAATTCGTGTATTCGCGAACCAAATTAACTTCCTTAGCTTGATGGAAAACGCGCATTATATTTTCAGGTTTAACATCGATAATAATGTTATCGATTGGCAATCTACTGATTTCCTTTAATGTCGAACGATAATTAGGCCCGGTACCAAGATGACGAATGGTGATTGGATTATCCTTATCCCTCTTCATAGTGAGAGCTTTTTGAATTCGTGAAAGGCCGTCGTTGGTTTCGTAAATCGCAACGAAGCTTTTCCATTTGTTCCAAACCACAACATCCGCGATAGCCTGGAAAGAGATTACCAAGTTTAAAGCGGCCCCAAGATTTTGGAAAAACTTTTCTTCTTTCCGAATGATATCTCACAAGAAAATAAATATGATAGATATTAAAGAAAAGAAGTAGGGGAAAAAAAAACAAAAAAAAATATTAAAAAAATGTCTCTTTTTATCGAAAATCGATCGATGGATATTTAAGGACCCTTATCATCCTTTTATATCTTTTCTTTAGAGTATCTTTCGTTATAAGGTGAATTAATATTTTAGTTCGTTCATTGAATTACAATTTTTGTAAGAAAAATAAAAATCGAGTATTTAAATATATGATTTATTATTTATTATAATTATTATATTTTTTTTTTTAATTGTAAGGATTATAAGATTGTACCATTGTAGTAAATGGTATGAGATATATTAATTATTTTCATAAAAATGTAGATTTAATAAATCTTACCTTGCTTATCATTTCACTATCAGGATAAATATTGATCGTCATAGGTGTTGGATTAATCGGATTATCCTCCTCATCTAAAATTAATTCCTTGTGTTCTCGCCAAACATATTCAAAGTGTGGTATATCGAAACGAGCAGCTATACTCGCAACTATACCTCGCGTGTATGGACTCGAGGGCCCAAAAATTGCCGCCACGCCTTCCTCCAGAAGTTCGCAGACTGTGGAAAAGCAAGCGAGTTAGATAAAGAAAGAGAAAGAGAAAGCAAATCTTTACAACTTGGAGTTGCCACGAGAGTGCTCGTGAAAGATTTCATCCGCAAAAAAAAGAACGAAATAAAGAGAGAGAGAAAGAGAGAGAGAAATAAAAAGAAATAAAGGTACTGCGAGCAGAAGACTTTGATTTAGTAGCCGGCGGAAATACTTCACCTTGTCTTCTTCTTCCTCTTCTTCTTCTTCTTATTATTTTTTTTCTTTCGTAGAAAAATGATAAAATCTAGTTTTATTTCATGAATTTTATTTCAACCTCAAACCCAGGCATTAATTTCATTAGTTATTATATATTTTATTACTCATTAGACTCTCACCTGCCAGTTTCGTTTTAAAACTATCCGTACTGCTATCAACTATTTTGATAGATGAACGTAATTCGAAAGCCGGTGCCGGATTTTCTATCGTCGTAGCGAATGTTGCTCTTTCGAATGCCACTTGGTACTCCATATCTTCTTGATGAAAAATTGCACCTAAAAATACAAATACAAATATGAATTTAAATTTAAATTGAATTTTTTTTCGAGATAACCCCACAGATAAGATCTATCGTACTTCCAATGAATTCGATTCTTTTATTGATGATTTGTAAAAATATAAAAATTAATATGCTAAATTAGGTGATCGTTTTTAAAAATGATAGATTTTTTTATAATCATAATTATTTATTATTTCATTGTTTGTTTCGTTTTAATTGAAGGCATGAAGCCAATATGAAGAACAAACGGTAGCGTTATTTGAAAATCAACTGGTGCTTACTTATTGGTAAATCGTAACGACCAACATATCGAAGACAGCGATGTAGAGAAATTCGAATTACTGCATGTAAACCACCGTAATTTCGCTTGGAATAATTTAATTCATAGACGAACGTGTATGTCCGTGAGAGAACGACGACGATGTAATCACGCGCGTTATTAGATTCGTGGCCATTCCATTTCTGTGACAATAATTCCTACTCTGGATACGTATTTCGAATTAATCGGTTAGAATCGACTAAATGTGGCTTTACCCTGCTTTGTATCCTGGCTAATATTCGATAACGTATTTATCATCCTTTTCATGCTTACCAAATGCCTCACACTCTAGCATTTTTGTTTTATTGTGATGGTCAAAATTATTCCTAATTTTCTAACACATGTTCCAGTCATTTTATTTTGTTAATTTATTTATTTTCTTCTTTTTTCGCAGGTGTTTTATTATGCTTGCCAAATAATTTCGTCTATTTGGTTGAAATTTACTTAAAAAAAAAGAAATAAATTTATTTTCAAAACCAAATATAATTTAATAAATATTAAAATTTGTATTTGTAGAATAAATTTCAATTAATTTGTTTTGTATATAATATTGTATATATACATATGAAAGTATCGTTGCAAAAATTTAATATACTTTTTCGGTTGGTGATATGAAATCATGTATTTTGACGATTAGGCACACAGATTATTTTTATACTTCATACATATATATATTTTTTAAATTCATTTTCTTTTGTCTTTCCTTCTCTCTTTCTTTCTCTCCCTCTCTCTCTCTCTCGATTTGTCACACGGGCCGCATCATTACAAACAAGTAGTACGTGGTAACGGTCTACTATCATTTTCAACACCGAGTCATTTCATTTTCTTTTGAAATTCTTTCCGGTGGCAGCTACGGCCGCTTCGGGTACCATTATATCGCGAAGAAAGACTCTCGAGCCCGTAAAAGTTACCTTTAGCTACATATCCACCAAGTCAATGTTGTAACTTTTTAACGGCACAGTTAAGACACAGACGTCAGGCTTTTTTTGAATTATAAATAATACTACACACACCGTTCATCGATTATTCCTATACAACCGTAAAACGATCGATGTCGAAATGAATGAAAAACTGTTCATTCGATTGAATTAAATATAAACTAACGATAAAATATTTTTTGCGGTATTGTGAATTATTTTCGACTAGATCAAATTTTTACAATTTTTCCTAATATCAAAAGAGAAAATTTTCAAACGACATGTATGTTAAAATAACACGGATATTTTGTTTTGAAAGAAAATCTAAAAATTTGTCGAATTTTTTTTTTTAAGCTTTTTTCATTAATTTTTATGATTTTTTATTCGTAATACTATATATACAGGCATTTATGTTTATGATAATTTGTATAATAAAGTAATAACTCGCGCAAATTGTTAAAAATGGAGAATCGAATTGACGATAATTTTTCAATGGATATTTTGGTTACTAACTCACCTAATGCATAATATTTTTTGTATGGATTCACCAATAACTATTGTCAACCTCTCCTCCACTTGTATTGTGAGATATAATGGTGCAATTTTGACCAAAGAAATAGATGGGAAGAGAGATAAGATTGAGTTTAAATCGATCGGCACCCTCGACTTAGGGGAAATCGTGAGAAATATGTGATAGTGTTGTACGTTCGATTTCCATATAAACGGACGTTCCTGGGATCAGAAAGAAAAAAGGAAAGAAGTAAAGAGAAAGAGAAAGAGAAAGAAGATACGATATCTTCCAGCGTGCATTTTTGTTCGGGGACACAATGCATCCTTTTTAAGGACGAAGAAAATGACTTCCATTTTGGTAAGAGTCATGCGATAAGAAAGATTCTACATATTTTTCCAAAAATTTATTACAAATGATTTAAGGAAATGCTTTCGGAGTGAAATTATTTTGAAAAATATTGAAAGAAGAAGTAAAGGATAAGTAGTAATGGCGTGATATATCTCAGACATTTCGGTCATCATTATTGTAAGTTAAGAACATTACTGTAAACTCTTATCTGCAATACAAACCTAGAAAGTTTGACGTTTGAAAAGTAGTAAAAGCATAGTAGCGATCAAACATATTTTTCGTAACACGATAGATCCCTTATACATATAGATACAATAATATTAAAGTTTTATGATAAATGATTGTAAAATGAAATCACTATTGAGAAATATGTAAGCTAAGAACAAAAATAGTTCTAACTTTCTATCGATCATGAATTATGATCATAAGATTCTACCGATATCATATATATCATACTTATCGTACCTTGCAAGCTAGATGCAAGCTAAGTAAACTAAAGTAAAAAAAATAATAATGAAAAAAAAAAAACGTTTGTTAGTATAAGAAGATGAAAACAAAACAAAATTATAATA